TAACATGGCTGTAACCTGTAAAGCCTGAGCTTACGTTTATTTTCTATGTAACTTGCATAGTTTTGCTGTTCCCTTACTATTTCATCGTTGAATCTGTGGTTTTTCTATTAAACTTTTTGTTTATTTGTATCTGAAGCAGGTGGCGTGTCAATGCCAAAGTGAGCTGATAACTGGGTGGCTGGCTCCATACCCTCCAGAGTGATGAACCAGAGGGGAATGGTCTGAGTATCTGGTAGTTAAGAACTCAGGGAGGACATATTTGGTGAGATGTGGGACTGACAGAGATGTCGGTGTCATCCTGCAAAGAATAAGTAGGCTAGTGAGAACCAAGGTTAAACCTTTTGCCTATGAGAAGGCTTTTGGTGTCAGGGAACTGAACCACAAAGGCCCCCAACATTACAGAGCAACTACTGACAGAATTCGTCATTGGTCTGGGTGAAGCCCAAAACATCAGAGAAGCCTTGAAAAATAATGAAACATTTTTTCATTTATCCACCATTTACGTGAGTCCTTCTAAAATGTATGATAACTTTCAATTTAATGAAAAATTTTAAAGACATGCCATGTATATACACAGAACTATTCTATTTGAAAAAAGTTTTCAAACTGGAACAAAGTTAAGAGACACAAAATATTTTGCTTCTGATTACCTGTAGCTCTCTTTTTGTTAGTGTAGATAGAAGTGTACATAAAAGTGTTCTTTCAGTGTAGGATGAAGCAGATGGCAAACTATGTAGTTATGGGGGTAAAGTCATGAGTGTCAGCCAGCACTGAATTTGGCTTATAATCAATTTTCTGACATTACATATTATTTCTGTGGAAATTTTTATGATCTCATGGGAGCACAGGAAATGGCAAGTTAAAAGAGAAGACTGGATAAGCACAAGTATTGGATAAGAAAAAAATAGCAAGGAAAATTCTGAAAAACAGATTTAAATGGATTTACACAGAAATAGCATGTAACAGACTTTTTCAATTAGTCAAATCCCTTTATATGCTTCTTTCTTTACTAGTCTTTATATGCTAGTTAGTAGGATATTTCTACAAGAAAAAGTCTTAAGAGCTTACTGAACCGCATATTACTAACCTGATTTTTTCCTGGTCTCAGAAAAGTCTCCACTTTCAATATGGAATGGCCACCTGAAAATTTATATTGCATGAAAAAACCCTTGGCATATAGTATCTATATGTATTTTCTCCTACCCTCTTATGTTCTCCGTTATGCATAATGTCCAACATTCTCTATGGCTTTTGGTGATTAGCATAAAGGTTACTGTATTGTGGAAAAACGTTCAGGCTTGCTAGGAACTTTGAAAGTTACCCAGCACTATCTAGACCGTTTCTCCCTCTCTCTCTCCCCCCCTCCCCCACTATTTGTCTATTTTAAGTGTCCTTTTAGTGTTATTTATTTATATATATATAACCAATATGTTACCAATACTCCCACAGTCAAACAGAAAAACAATCTCTCAACTATATTCTACATCTTGACAGCACAAGCCAGAATACATTTTGTAATTCACATTTAAAACATTCTGAGGACATAACATGCTTTTGCCTCAGTACCGAATAAAAAATATTTGTGTGGTTATTATTGGTACTTCTTACCCACGGGATAGTAATTCTGAACCAAAAATAAATGGTGAGAAGACATGAAAACTCTTACAAGCCTATGAATAAGCACCTGATTTTAATATTTACTACTGTAAATATTAGAGATATTTTAAGAAAGATGCATTTTTAATAGAGAGGCCCTGTGGTTTCATGAATAAAGCAGTTGGCTAGGATTCCAGATAACCAAGTTCTATTTCCAGCTCACCTTGGACAAGTCCTTTCACTTATCTATGCCTCAGTTTTCCATTTGTAAAATGAGGATAATTGTACTTACCTCCATTGTATATAACTTTGAGGTTGACATATGAAACTTGTTATACAAGAGCACAGTATTATTATGTGTGATATAAGTTATGATGCTACTTAGCAATCTAGGAAGAAAGTAGAAATTCTTCCTTCAGAGAAAAGAAAAGTGGCAAAGAGAGAAAGCCACAAGGCACCCACTGAAGGTCTACTTTTGTGTGTTTTTCTACGAAATCCCAATTGGAAAGATGGCATTCAACACAGAGACAAAACACCTGCTCTCAAAGTTTTATCATCCTGTCCTACGGCACAGTCACAAGCGAACAGCATGTATGCCTCCTCTCACAAAGTAAAAAATAGAAAACAGTTTTAAATATAAAGAGAGGATCCAGTCAGAACAAAATATTAAAGTCTTTACACCCTCTAGTCCAGTTGGAGAGGAAAAATAGCCATAATGCCTATGGCTAGCAAATAGCTGCATCAACACCACCAGTGTCAATGGAAAACTAAATAGCAAATAAGCCTCAAAATGAGGTAAAAGTTTCAAGCAGTTTGAGTTAATCATACGTTTCAACTACTGTAAGAGCAGTATTCTCTCCCAGCCTCTCCAGAGCCTGCATTCACTTACAGAATGCTTTTTTCTGTGCAATCTGCTCTGACAATTTCCATCATGTTGATTTGCCTAAAAGCTTAGGGCTGGAATCCAAGAAGCAAAGAAGTTCTATGAACCAAACGAAATTAACACACAATACTCTGCAGATAATACTCTACAGGCTTGTAATGTGCCTATGTCTGTCTGCAAGCCGTCTGTCTGCAAGTCTGTTTGTTCAAGAACTCCTCCTAAACGGTAAGAGCTAGGGTAATCAAATTTGGTCTGCAGCTTCCAATTAACTTAATTTACAGCAAGGTCGGTGTTTAGTTGTCTGTCCCACCCCTGAGCCCATGTCTCCTCGCCTTAGCCTGACTCCCAGGGAGAAGTCAGTAGATACCTCCAACTCTTGCCTTGAGCCCCTCAATCTCTCCCCTGAACTCCCACTCCTCCCAATGTCCTTCCCTGATTCCTGCCCCCTCACCTCCTGCCCTGAGCCATTCCTCACCCCTCAACTCTCACTCCCACATTCCTCACATATCTTTTCCATTACTCAGCCTCAATTTATCTAGATATAATCTCTTTTTAGTGTCAAAGTAGATGGGCAGGCATTGAGGATTTTTTAAAATAGTGAAAAAATATTGATAGTACTGTTAATATGAATGTTGAAATGCTATAAAAACTGATTTGTTTTTCTCTCTCGAAAAAGATATGATAATCACAGACTGTTTTAGGTTCCCAGCTATTCCACAGCTACAACTTGTATCTAGTATCAAACTTCCATCTGTGGTTATTGCTTTTGGTCCTAATTAGTCTGTCTGCTATCATAATTGACAAAACAAAAATTGGCTAAGAAAGTTGTTTGGAGAAAAGCGGACTGTGCAGCAAGATGTCAGGTAGTGGATGCGCACAGGACTGGCAGCAAGCTAATGTTCATTTCCAAAGCCCGAGAAAAGTGCTAGCATAAAAGTGTACTGGGAGCTAATTTATGCACAAGTGGTTTCCAAGCTCTCAACAATTCTTCTATTGAGTATTTGTATAGTCATCTCTAAAATTATCAGGTTCACCACAGAAACAATGACTATATAGATCAGCATTTCTTAAAGTGTGTTGTGTGCCATGAGGCAGTTGGAGGTGAGCCGCGGAGAAAAGAAGTCAAAATAGCTGCCCTTAAAAGAGCAATGCCTGCTCTCCTGATAAAAAGGCAAACGGTTTGGATATTTTTGCTTAACTTCTCCCCCCCCCGCCTCCTTTTTTGTTTGTTTTTCTCAACAACTTTCCCTGGGGGCTTTTTTTGGGGGGGGGTGTCAACAACTTTTCCCTTGGGAATAGCCGCCATTAAAGGGGCAAGCCTCCTTTCCCCTCCCTCCCCCTCAACAAACAAATCCTTGGTGTTCCCCATAAAAAAAATTATTGTTTGGTATTCCTCGGTATTAAAAAGTTTAAGAAACACTGGTATAGATAATTTCAAATGCCAAATTAAATAACTCAAATCTGATTTATTCTCATATTCTTCATGCCCATTTTCCATGACAGACCAATTTACACATTTCTTTAAATAAAAAAGGGATTTTACAAGGCACGAATAATGAGGAAGTTTACAAGAAAGTTATTTTTCCATTATTTATAAAATGCACATTATTCTTAAGATGCAAAACCCCTATTATACCACATCTGGAATAGAGATGTTAGTGTATAGTTATGTAAATGATTAACCAAGAAGCCTTAGTTTGTTTAATTGTAACGACTACATGTACTCCCCCCCATCTTGCTGTCTCTGTATCAGAGGCAGCAAGGTGGGGTAGGCAGGAGCTGGTGTCCGTGGGGACATTGCACCTCCCCCCTCATGCTGCAGCCTCTGACAGAGGTAGCTGTGTGGGGCTTAAGGCAGATCCATTCAGCTGGTGCCCGTGGAGAGCCAGCGTTTAATTTAACTTCCCATGAGCACCAGATCCCATGAGCCAGCTTTTAATTTAACTTCCCATGAGCGCCTGATCCTCCTTACTGCCTCCCACAGAAGAAGGGGGGAAGGCAGGAGCGAGGGCTTCATGGAGCAGCTGCCCCTCCCCACACTGCTGCTTCTATGTCAGAGGCAGCAGCCTCAGCGCAGGGATAGCAAGTTCACCAGATATGTGGACCCTGGCCGTAGCTGGGCTGGGTGGGCAGGTTGGGCTGTGACCAGAGTGGCCTGGGTGGGCCAGCAGAACCCTGGTCCAAACCCCGGCTGGAACAGTAAACTCCAGCCCCAGCTGCATTGGAGCTGCCTGGATGGGACTCCAGCCTGGAGCCTCGGCTGCTCTGAATGGCCTGGGTGGGCCGGCAGGATCCCACCTCAGCTGCCCTGGAGTGGCCAGACAGGAGCACAGCCCTGGCTGCTGGCTGCCAACTGTTAACCAATTAAACAGTAATAATATAATCATTTAACCAGTTAACAATTTTCATGGTTATTTACCTCTGGAGTAGTGAATCATGCCTCTAGAACTGGAGAGACTTCTCAAATGAAGACACCTGTGCAAATCTATTTTATGTTAAAGTACAGAAAACAAACACAAACCTTCTTCAGTCACTTCAGAGCGATCTGGCTTTGTCTCCTTGTGCTGTCCTTCTGCCACTTTCACAGCCACTGCTCTGCAAATGGCGCCAAATTTCCGATCCAAAGAGCGGACTCCAGCCTCTCTAGTGTATCTGCCAGAGAGACAATATTTCACTCTGGATTTAAGTCGATAAGCAGAGTACCATCAACACTTGTTTCACTTACCAACACATCAACGCTTCCCTCTTCCCCCCAAATTCCTACTGCTCTACAGATACATTATCAATGGTACCTTTTCATTTGTTTCCAGTTTAAAAGATTTCTCTGAAGAGGCTTCAACATCCCTAATCTGAAGAGGGAAAAAGATAAAGGAACACCTGTGTCCTGGCACCTTCTCAGAAAAATTTGCAGTAATACTAGGCGAGGTTCCCTCTAATCTTTTCCATCCTTGTGCAGATTCTTCTCATCCATATGTGGAATAATTTTTTATATGAACAGTGTTATATAATCAGCTGGATGGCATGTGAATCTCTCCTGAGTGTGAAAGGGATGTGTTGAGGCCTACCCAGAATATGTCAAATGAGCACCAGTTTAATTGTAAGTGGAAAGGAAAGGCAGCATTGTCAGATACAGGATACACAAATAAAAACAAAATTTGATTGGTTGACCAACAATAACCCCACTTTTAGGGAAGTAAGTAACTCAGACAGCAGTATGCAACAAAGTGCTGATCACCCCAAATCAGGCATGTCCAAAGTCCGGCCCGCGGGCCAATTGCGGCCCGTGTTCCGGTTTAATACGGCCCCACAGGTAATTTGGCAATATCTATCTTTTATGGCCCCCAACGAATCCATATGTATTGAGATGAATACATTGTAAAATCTCAGTTAATGTCAGTTGGTCTAAATCAGTTATAAATATATTTGGACACAACATGTATACTTGGTGTTATGTTCCTGTTCATATTTTTTGAACTTAAAAGTTGACAGACAACCTTTATTACCAATAATATGTAATGTACTTTACAATGTTCCTGACATATATTTCAGCTTCCTGGATTTTTTTTTCATCTGGCCTTCAGATATGAAAGGCAGAGTGATTTAACACCTGTTTAGATTTGTCATCCATGTGACGAAATGAAAAGTATGCCGTTTGCAATAAACTTTGCATAAAATAGTTAATTTGCATTTAATTTTAATGGTTCAAAGAATGTCAGGCAAAATGGTCGGCCCTCACGCATGTTCACTTCATCAAATCTGGCCCTCTTTGAAAAAAGTTTGGACACCCCTGGCTTAAGTGCAAGCATTGACCCAGATTGACGATAGTCTTATCAGAGTCGCCAGCCTGCACAGCACTTACGCTAGGTTTCTGTCTTATTGTAACTTTACAGTTCTTGTTCATCTCTGTGGATTTCCATGTGATGCAGTGTATATGAGAGTCACGACAGGTGGTCTTTGAATAAGGCGCTGGATTGGGGGTAAAGAGAGCTAGATTGAATTTCCTGGTTCCCCCGCTCCCTCCAGGCCCTCTGGGGCATGTTGCTTAGAGAGAATTTGTAATTGATTTAGGAGCCCTTCCCTATGTTCCCCTCCACTGACTTTCTGAATCACTGAAGTACTCTTGAGGCTTCTAGTCTTCATTTCCCCATCTGTAAGTATGGGCACAGCACTTTGTTTTTGTGTCTCATGTATTTAGCTTTGGGGCAAGTACTCTTGCTATGAGTATGTCTGCTCTGGAGCTGCAGGTGTGATTTCCGGCTCAGGCAGAACAGCTAATGCACTGAAATAGCAGGGTAGCCATAGCTGCCTAGGCTAATCGCCTCTAATTGAGCAAGGAGTTTCTGTGAGAGGGTCCCCTAAAAATAAATTAATGGACTTAAAAAAAAAAAAAAAAGAGTGTGTGACATCAGAACAGAGTACACAGATTATAGGAAACACTGGTACTGAGGAAGGGAGCAGACCTGTAAGTGACTCTTGATCCAAGAGACAAGGAGCAGTTTCAGAGAAGGCAGGCAGAAAAACATTTTCTCCCAGGTAAGGAATACATAGCTGGGGAAGGAATGGGAAGAGTACTTCTGACATCCCTGAAACAGGAACTCTGGGTAGAAGAGTTACCTTTACTTTCAAAGAAAATGATGGGGATGGCAGGGGGCAAGGGAGCTCACTATGTATGTTGCTGACATCTGTCTACTGTCCTCCATGCTGCTGCCCTCTGCAAGGCTTCCTCAGCACTTCCCAATGGGCATTCTTTTGGTCTGCCACTCAGAGGAAGGAGAAAGCGAACAGGGTCTTACACAGGCAGGATCATCCCCTTCAGTCTTTGTGTCCTCTCTCCTGCTTTCTGCAGTGGGAAATGGATAGTGCAGCCTGCTGCCTTTTCTACCTTTTGTTCAAGTCAAATGTGGAGTGATCTGCATCACTCCAGCCTTGTGCCAAATTTTCATCTCCAGACGTGTTCCGTTTTCGTGTACGTCTAATCATTGTGTCTGTGATCATCCTGCATCCTCGAGTGACGTGTGCAAGGTTGAGATGGGAGATAGATTCCTTGTACTCTCCATCCCATCTGTATTACTTGCCCTAGTGTACGTGCAATTTTAATACCCAAAACAAGTCAAGGAATTCAAAGTTAGATAGCCCATAGCAACCCCCTGACTTAGCCCTCTTGTGAATGTATTTTCTAGTCTGTATTATTTTCCACTGTTAATTTATTGCCTTAATATATATCTGGAACATCTTGCATCAACGGTATTAAAAACAGTGGAAAATTATGTATATGACTTTCTAATATTTAAGTTAACGGATTTTCTAGTCTAGGCATAAAGAAACATTCCATTAAAACAAGGTGACTTGCTAGAAGCAAGTTTATAAACAATTGTGCATATTATGACAACAACAGCTGAACCACGGGAATATTCTGTTAGCTAGCTAGTTTACAAAGGAAGCCATTCCCTATTAATCTCCAATGGTGTCACATTAAAATGCTTCTATTAATGTACCACTAAAAAGTAACCTAGAGCCTAAAAGTAACACACAGCACATTTACCTGGTGATGATGTCCAGAGTAGTCACTTGTGGAATCTGAATCTGCTGAGGAGTCAATCCATGTTGTTCTAACTGTTTAGGGATCAGGTGTCTATGTGCAATTTCTATCTTCTCTTCTTGTGTATATCCTTCAAAAGAAAGCATCTCATTCACATCTTCTTAACTAGACTGTACCAGGATTTCAAACTTACTCAAATGTAAAACTGAGGAAATTTAAAGAAAGAAGTTAGTTTACTGAATTATATGCAAATCTCTTTAAATCTCAAATAATCTCAGGAGTCAATTAAGTCAATATATGAATTACTTGCCCAGCTAGGCAGTTGTTTTAAATTTTCTAAGCATAACTTGTAAAAATTGCCGATTTACAAAAAAAGTTTGATTTCTGCCATGTCAGATGGCATGAACAATGAAAGCAGAAAATGCTTTCGAAGTACATTGTGGGGAAACTTCACATCTGTCCATATACTCTGTCATTATTCTGTTTATCGCAGTTTATGTACTATGATTTATCAAAGGCATAATTTTGAAAAAAAAGACTCATTTCACAGGCAGTGTCAACTATGGGTGTAACTATGTTTGTGTAGTGTGTTTATGGAATGATGTGTTATACACAACAAACAACTACATCAGACATCTATCTGATTTTTTATTACAAGTAGCTCTTAAACATTCAAGTGAGGTAGCTAGATACCAGCATTCTCTCCATTTAAACTCTCAAAATTTCAGATGCAAAAATCAGATCCCAATCCTACAAACATGCATGTGTGAGAATGTATTCACCCAAACAATTCCATTGACTTTAGTGGAATTTATATGAGTTAAGTTGTGTGTACATGAATTTGCTGGATTGAGTATTAGCTGGGACTGTCTTGAAAACTGGCCCTGTAAGCCATGTAAAAAATATCAGTGTAAAACAAACTACTGAGAGATTTCTCTCCACACAAGAATGAGGGAGCACTCAGGAGGCCTTTTTTGCATGGATCAGTGCTCCTTTCAATGTTGCTAGGTCTATATGGCTAAGATCAAGTTTTGTACATGTTCTTAGCAGTTTAATTATTGAAGCAAAAACTACACCTAGAAAACTGGAATTTCTGTCCTAGGAAGAGTGCACGTTTGAAGACGCATTCTACTGCTGTTGCTTCAAAAGAAGATCTTCATGCTGCTTCAGAGATATATCATGAGAAGTAGCAATTAGACTTACCAAGGCCAAAAACACTGCCCTAGAGGAAGATGGCATTTGCTACAACCTTCCCCAAAAACGAGACCCTGGCAGCCTTGTATTAACTGCCATTTTCATCAAATGCAAACAGTTCCACCATACTCCCAGCACCTGAAAGAAGTTCACGACAGTGCTCATCTATAAAGAAGGTGAGTGAGACGACCACAGCAACTGGAGACCATCTCTCTGTTCCACCACATACAAACTGTTATCGCCACTAGGATCACAGACAGGTCAGTGAATACAGGAGCCATCAGCTCCATCCAGAAAGGCTTTATGTTGTGCAAAGGCTGCTCTGAACACAATTTCATCTTTCAGACCACCATCTAAGGAGCCAGGAGGGCATGGATGCAGTGTCCATAGCATGGCTTGATCTGGATAATGCTTTCAGACTAATGCCTCACCAAAACATTTTTGACACAGAGTTCAAATGCCTGAAAACTCTTTTAAACTGGTCTGGGAACTTTATAAAGGATTCACCATCACCATCCACTCCATGAAAGGAGAGAACCCTGAAATCCCAATTCAGAGTGGTGTGAAGCAAGACTCTCCCCTCAGCTGCACTGTTTTCAATCCAGCCATGGAGCTGCTCATTTGAGTGATCTCCAGTGGTCTAGATGGTTTTTACCAGTACAGCAACAGTGAATATTCTGCCCACATTGATGATCTGGTCCTGATCACAGATGACCTTAAGAACGTCCAATAAATGCATTCTGTCTCCAGCTAGGTGGATAAACTGATGGGACTGCACTTCAACACTACAAAGCATGCACCCCTGCATATCGATGGCAGTAAAAGAGACTCAATCCAGACAAATTGATTTAAGATCTAGGGTGAATCCATGATTTCCACGCCCAGCAGACAACTGCAGATACCATCATGGAACTCCTATAAGATATGGCCAAGATCAACACCTCCCTACTGAACCATGGAAGAAGATCAATGACTTGAATACCTTCACGATCCTTTGTATTTCATTCATCCTGAAGGGGATCTGTCATGGCAAAGTATCTCTCAAAAAGGCGGACATCATCAGGCAGCTGGTGAAGAAAAGCGAAGTTACTCACTTTGGTGAGATAACTGTCGTTCTTCGAGATGGTGTCTGCGGGGCTGCTCCACTGGTGGTGCTGGTCTTGCCCCAGCATCACAGACGGAGAATTTTCCAGTAGTAGTCGTCAGCCGGACCGTGCATGCGCCGCTAGTCATGGCATTCGCGCTCTTTTCTCATTGCACGGTCCGGCCCCCACCAGTTCCTTGAGGCCGCCTCTAAGTCTGAAAAAGAAAGCAGAAACGGACTCCGAAGCAGGGAGGAGCGCAGGTAGTAGAGCACCCGTGGGGACACCATCTCGAAGAACAACAGTTATCTCACCAAGGTGAGTAACTTCGCCTTCTTCTTCGAGGATGTCCCCGCGGGTGCTCCATTGTTGGTCACTGAGTAGTAGTGGTCGCCACAACGGAAGGAGGGATCCGGAGTCCCTATTTATCCGCTATGGAGAGAACCCAGTCGCCAGAGCCCCATCAGACTGCGAAGCCTGAAATAGAGAACAGTGTCTAGCAAAGGTCTGGTGAGAAGCCCAACCCAGTCGCCAGAGCCCCATCAGACTGCGAAGCCTGAAATAGAGAACAGTGTTTAGCAAAGGTCTGGTGAGAAGCCCAGGTGGCTGCCCTACATATGTCCACCCTTTTAAAAATGCAGTGGACGCTGCAATGGCTCTAGTAGAATGAGCACAAGGTGGAATGAGTGCCGGTACTTTGGCCAACTTTGTCGGCGCCATCAGTGATGTTGGTGCCGGATGCAACAGCGCGGGCATCAGTGCCGTAGTCGTCGGTGCTGCATTCTCGGCCTGTATAGTAGGCAGTGCCAAGGGCGCTCTCGATGCCGTATATGGTTTTAGCACCGGAGGCTTCAAGACCTGCGGGACTGGTATATATCGCGGTGCCGAGGTTGGCTCACAGCCGGTTTTCAATTTCTGAGGCACGTTAGACTTCGGTCGCAGCATAGAAGTGCCGGACGTGCCTGGTTTATCCCCGTGGCTCACTCAGCCGTGAGAGACCGCTGGTAGAGACCGCGTTGGGGAGGGCCTCGTCTTTTTGGCTGTAGAGGTTGTTGGGGAGGAGGCTCTACGCTTCACTGACTGGCGCTGTGAGGCAGAAGAGAGAGTTTGCGGTTGGAGCGCCTGATTGAAAAGCAGCATCTTTAGCTGCCGTTCCCTGTCCTTTCGTGCCTGAGAAGTCAACTTAGCGCAGTGAGCGCATTTTTGGGGCACATGAGACTCCCCTAAACATTTCACACAGAGGGCGTGGCCGTCGGAGGCCGGCATAGATTCACGGCACTCCTGGCATTTTTTGAAGCCTGGTGAAGAGGACATTTTTCTTCCTCCTTGTTGTTGTTTCTTTTTTTTTTGTTTGTTTTTTGTTTTAAACTGAGAGAACAGGAGGGCAATTAACTATATACAGAGAAATCAACAGAGAGGAGGGGAGAAACGGAATCTTAGACCGGGAAAAAAAGCTGCTAAGGAAAGAAACCTCTTTTTTTTTTGTTAAAGATCAACAGGGAATAAATGATAACAAGATAAAAGCGATCAAGAACGTCTCACAACACGGAGCAGTCGAAGAAGGGAGAGCGCGGTTCCTTGCGTCTGCAGCCTGAGGCGGTCAAGAGGAACTGGCGGGGGCCAGACTGCACACAGAGAAAAGAGCGCGAATGCCGTGACTACCGGCGCATGCGCGATCCGGTCGACTACTACTTCTGGAAAATTCTCCGTCTGCGGTGCCGGAGCAAGTCCAGCACCAACAGTGGAGTACCCGCGGGGATATCCTCGAAGAAGAATGTATGTTTCTTTCCTAGCGGGCCAGCAAAGAACTGGTGTGCATCTTACACAGATCAGGTGACACCAACATTCCTTGAATGGATGATATGTATGATGTTGACATCATCATTCATGTTTTCTGGCTTCTGATGTCCCTAGAATCCATAGTGAAGAACATTGTGGAGCTTTCTCTGAAGTATACGATCAAGAAGCAAATTACTGGGACCTCCTCCAACCAAGATGTCACCATCTACCTAAGTGGCTCCCTGGAAGGGGAATTTGGAAGAGAGAGATTTTGCTTTGCTCTGGACTTGTGCCTGGAATGCTACACAATGGCTAGAGAAGTGTATCAGGTGCCGCTGGATGTGGTACGAGAAATGCCAAAAGCTGTGAGTCCTAGTGCCACAAACGTAGAACATGCAGTGCACTATCATGACTCCAAGAGCCAGAGGCAAGCTGGAGAGGACCTTGAAGGATACCATCCCGTGCCAGTATTTGAAAATCAGAAGTGGACACTTGACCAGGACAAGTCATTTAAGGCAAAGTGAAAATGGCATGCCAGCAACCACTTTCTCCCTAAGGGCAGCTTTACCCGATTTGACGACTGGAGGTTCATCCACCAGGCCCAGCTCAACTGTATCCTTCTTAACCAAGCCATCTACCACAGGAATCGGGACAAGTGATGTAGGAAGTGCAGCTATGCCAACAAGACGTTACCCCACATCTTCTGTAGTTGTAAGCCCCACACCAGGGTCTAGCAACTGTGACACCCCATCCACGATTGTCTGGTGAGAGCCATCCTGTCACCCATGGGGAATGATGCCCTGAACTCTGCCATCCCTGGAATGGACAACCAACTATGACCAGATAATGCATCACCAACGACCAGAAAAAAGATCATGGTGCACATCATGGCGGTGCCCTTCGAAAACAAGATCCTGGTGTTCCATGATGCCCAATCTCGAAAGCTAGAGAAATACGTCCCTATGTCCAACACCCTGAGAACCAAGGGCTATGAGGGTCATGGTCATAAGCTTATCATCGGAGTGCTGGGAACATGGGATCCCAGTAACAAGTGAGTACTGAAAGTGGAATCAGTCAATGCTACGCTCAGCTGATGCAGCAACTCATGGGATCAGATGCCATCAAGTGGTCTAGAGACATCTACCTGTAACACATCACTGGACATCAGCAATACCAGGAGAGAAGGAGCTGGAGCATGGTCAGGAAAATAAGTCAAATACTTTGCTGGTGGTCTCTTTTCTAAGGGACAACCTGCCCTAAATACCCAATTACTGAGGGACAATCCTCACTCATTGATATATTTGCTTTTCACAATCAACTCTTTGAATAACTTCTTATGAATGATGTACCCAAATATTTGCATGCTAATATATATACTGTATTGTATATTTGTGGATAATCGAAGCACTATGACCAGATTTACAGACGCTATTTTCTTAACCTGAATATGATGTATTTTAGCATTACATATAATACATTTTTTTAAACTAACTGCACACAGATACAAATCTGTGGCCAGTTGGAATTTAATGGATATCACTATAGTCCCCGCTGTGGCCATTCAACAGGGATAGAACTCCAATCTTCCTGCTGCAAAACACAATCCCTTTCTTGAAAAATCCTGTGAAGAAGCTATTAGCTGACAGCAGGGTAGGACAGTTACACATCAATCCATTCATTAAAGTTCTTCACAGACTGAACAACTGTGTCACATAATTAGGCCTAGATTTTCAAAAGTAAAAAGGTGAATATTCCCACAGTGAAAATCAGGACCACTGACAGTGTCTCAAGATGGACACCCAAAAATGGAGGCATTCAACATAATTAGTTGTGGTAGAAAGTCTTGCAACAGATTCTAGTTTTCTACAGTGAGACTTATAAAGAGTACACTTTTTTGACAGGAAAAAGTCCAACTGATTTAGGACACGCAGAAATCATGTTAGTCAAATTACTTAATTGTTACCTGGAACCTGAATGACCTCCATTCTGTCCAACAGAGCTGGTGGGATAGTAGCAGTAGTGTTGGCTGTGGCTATAAAAAGGACTTGGGATAGGTCGAAGGCTACATTTAAGTAGTGATCGGTGAAGCTATGATTTTGTTCTGGATCCAAGACCTTAAAAAATGTGAATACAAAAACAGTGCTGTTGCTTCACATCAAAGCAAAACAAAACACACAAACTTTTATTTAGCTATCTCCTATGTGCTATTGGTACTGTAAGCATGCTTTCCTTTTGGTTGTCAGGCCCTAAATAGAATTCCTGATCTCTGACATTCTGCTCACCTGTTAGTTGTTTATTACTAGATTCTATCCTGCATGGAAAAAATTGCAAATAGAAATCCCTTAATAAAATTAGATACAGTAGAAAAACACCATCAGTATTTTTAATTTTAATATAATAGGATATCACTATTGAAAAGTGAATTCTGTACAGTATAATGTGTATTATGATTGTGAAAACCTTCTAAACTCATTCATTTTACTTCTGCTCAGTTCCACTGGAGTTGCTAGAAGCATTTCAAAATTAACTTACTTAAACTCTCTTATATTAGCACTTTGCTATGCATTACTCAGCATATTTCATCAACTTTTCAAACCCATTATATAATCCTCAACCATTTCCTTAAAGTTCATGTTGATTCTGTCAGGTGGCTTCATATTACACAATGCTAGCAAGAGCATCAAGCATTCCAAGGAGCACAGCTTTGGTGAGGCCACTCATACCAGAAATTAAGAACTGCCTTCAGTCTTCAGGCTACTGTTCCTCTCATGAGACTGCACATATGACCTAAATCACTGTAACCTAACTGTAATCTACCTAACACCACAGCCAAGGGATTATCTTTCAATTTATACTCTCCATAAGCGAAGGGTTTCATGTTTTCACGTTATTCAGAGTATTTATAGAATCTGAAGTATTTACACAGGTAGAACAAAAATTTCTCTCAAAGATGTTTGCTTGCAGAGAAGCCCTATCTCAAGATGTGTAACAAATATAGATGTTTCCCATTTTTTAAAAGAAATGAGGCAGTTTTGAGTTCTCCATAACTATCACTATGCCTAAATACAGAGGAACACTCCAGTCGTTAAGTCTTTTTCTCCCTAAAATAATTCACCAACAAGGTTAAAGTTCACTTTATCAGGTAATGCCATGAGTATTTGACTTTCATGCTATAAGCTGAATGACTACTTTTAAATTAATTTTAAGTGAGATCCTTTCCATTACAAAACTCTTAACCTAAAGTTAAACTTTAATGGTTATGGCTCCATGTCTGTCATGGAGGTCACAGAAGTCATGAATTCTGTGACTTTTCATTACTTCTCCAGGGGCCACTGTGGCTGACCCAAGGCCTCTGAAACAGCTGGCTCTGGGATGGCCCCCAGAACAACCACACCAGCCACTACTCTGGTGGTCCTCTGCAGTGGTCCCAGTCAGCTGAAAGCAGCCGCAGCAGCTGCAGTTGACATACCTGGGAACTAGTCCCTGGCCAACCAGCCAGAGCATCCATGGTTCATGGCAATAGGCAGTGATCCCCAGCCGACTGCTCAGAGCAGCAATGGTCCAGGGTGATAGGCAACAATCCCCAGCTGCCTCCCAGAATTTCCAATATAGCTGGAACAGCTGTGGTAGCCAGTTTAATAAATATTTCCTATGACAGATGTGGCAATTTCTTGCAATATCCTGGACAAACTTTATTGAATTAAGTTATATCTTACTGTATTAAGTGTATGTATCACTGTGGACTAGAGATTGCATGTAATTCCAT